GGGGGGGGGGGGGGGGGGGGGGGGGTGGTGGGGGGGGGGGGGGGGGGTAGTCCTGCAGGACTCACTCGCACCGCTATACATGGTTTTAGACCATGCAGTTTTGAATGGATTTGAAGTCTACATCACAGACAGGAGACAGGCCACTTCTGAACAGTCACAATACATGTATCAGGTTTTGTGTGAGTTTCTGCTATACCTTTCAAATAACCCATGGGTGGATTATTCAATGGACCTCCCAGGGGTCCAAGACATCAAGAGGCCTGAACCAGCCAGAAAGTCAAAGAGCTCCGTCAAAAAAGCAGTGTCCTTATCACGTTTGTTTGCTCCTGATAATGATCTGAGTCTGTTAATATTAAGCCAATCTTAAGAGCAATCATATATCCATTTTTTATTACATATTTCTTATTTCTTTTTTTTAAATATGTAATACAGCTGCATTGTGCATAGGTAGGCAATACGCCTACATTCCTATGTTTTGAAAAAAGTTACAAAATGTACATGTCTGTGACCACTGACTGTAAATATAATCTGTCCAGGGAATAGGAAACAGCAGCGACTACTAAATGTGCTTCTCTGAAGAGACCTGAACCATCCTCTTCAGTAGCAGGCCTACACACATCTGTGTAGCTATCCTGCTAATCTTACAAATCCTTTGTCTGGGAGGAAATTGAACCTGCATTTGCTGTCTTGCTCATAGAAAAAACACAAACAACAGAAATTACATTTATTATGTTTCACAATAAACTGTTTGCATGTCATGTAACCTAGATATTGTGAGATATTATTTTTGACTGTTTATAATCGGAGCCAGCCATCCGCTCCCTACCAGCTGGTGGCGGTATTGCGCCATGTCGGTGTTTGCTACCGCTAGAAAGCACAAGAAGAAGAGGAAGAAGAAACAACAATAGATGCGGAAACCCAAAGAAGAAGAAGCAGCAATAGCTACTGTAAAAACAGAACAACAGAAGTCCAAAATGGAGGAAGCTGACGTGGGTGTGTTAATCTTGTGTAATTCACTTTATTAGCAGAATCAATTTTCGAATCATTTTGCATTTTTTATTTCTACATTCGTCACACAAAACCAATACAACGGTTTAACTGTGAGCTTCTCAAGTGAACCTGGTGTATTTTCTAGCTAGCGGTGTATGCTATCGTTGCTAGCCTGAAAGCTAGCTTCTGCTGCTGCCACATTTCACCTTTATAATTACACAATCACACGAAACAATTCGCTTATCTGCACTGTGCTGCGAAGGACACAACATCAGGTGAGTTGCGAATGTTTTGTATCGTATTGACCAACGCGAAGTCGGAACACACCGAAGCTCCCGTAACGTTAGTTAGTAACAAATTAACGTTAATGTCTCTTATTTTACACCGTGTGATTGTGTGTTGCAGCTATTATGGAGGTGGACGAGATGGAGCTCCAAGAGTCCGACAAGAGGGTCGAAAACCAGACAAAGAGAGATGAAGAAAGAGACGATGAAGGTACAACATAAACGTTTTAATTAAAAATGAAACATGGTTGGCCTTTACCAAGTTTAACTTCAACCTTGATGTCCGAAAACGACATTATTGACAATAATTTGTCTCGTCTATGACGAAGTTGTCCTTAATTTGTAATGGAAAAGTTAAAAACAATATATCTGAGATGCAAACTGTGGTTTTTTAACCTCTCTGTGAGACATAATGACGATGGAACTTCTTAAAGTATTAAAACATATTTAATGAACAGACACTTCAATCAAAATTCAGCTGAATGGATAGAGCTCTTTCCCCACGAATGGTTCGGAGGTCTAACCACGATTAAAAAGACAAAACAGAGTATATATGCACGTTATCTCGTCTCCTCTCCCTTCACCCTCCCCCTCGCAGATGTTGGCCGCTGCACCCACCAAGGCCAGGTTCCCAGCCTTTTCGTGGGAAGAGGGTTAGGGTGGTATATGCAGGTTTAAGCAATACAACTTATAACTAAAGGAACCATGTGATGAATTTCCACAACACAAACAAGTTCTAAATTCTCATATTGAAGAAGCCGAAACCAGCAAATATTTGGCATTTTTGCTTGAGAAATGACTCACGCAATGAATCAATTATCAAGATAGTTGCCACTAATTTACAAATCAGCTCAAGTTAGAACACAGTAATTCTGCTCTAGGTTGTTTTGTTTCTGCAAGCCACAATTTCATCAATGCGTTTTTCTTTTCAGAAAATATGTCAGATTTCCCATGCAAGTCTGTTGCCTCCACAAATGAATCTCTCAGCAAAGAGACGGAATTGAAGGACGGTCCGGACTTGCTCAATGTAAAAAGAGCCGTGGTTGTTTTGACCCGACTCCCTGACTATAAGATCAGCGCTCTGCGACCACCAACGCCTCCGCAGTTCTACAGCGAAGACGACTCCCTCAGCAGCTCTGACTCTGATATGCAGTGGGAACCAGAAGATGATTCTAGTGACGCTGAATTCTCGCTTTCACACAACAAAAAGAGAACTGGAAGACACGCTACTGCACACACAAGCAGGATGAACAACAACAACGTCAATGGTAATGCCCTGATCTGACCACCGTCATTTATTTAAATGTGATTTTTAGGTCATAATTATTTCCCTGAAAATTCCCATGACCACTCATTCATATATTACCATCCCTCAAGCTCATACATTTTAATGTACACATTTTGTGTTTTTCCACAGCGCCAGAACAAGCCCCTGTAATAATATCATCGGTTTTCGCCCATTGCTCCAATGAAACCACGAAGGTCCGCCCGAACTTGCCAGAAGTAGAGGTCATAGTGGACACGGTGGTCCTGGCCAGGAAGAGAACCATGAGATGGCAACGTGGAAAAATATTGGATATGGTGACGAGGGGTAAGACTGCATCTTTTTGACAGGAAATTGTGCCTTATATTCAGTGTGTATCTAACACCTGAGTTTTTACTTGAGTATGTTCGATAGACTTACTGTTGGTTGAACTTAGTACAAAGGAACTTTGCTTTGTGAAGACTCTAATGTATAATTATTTGTGCTGAAATCAGTAGCTAATTTACTGGTTATTTGAATATCTTTGAGTTTTGGACTCTTCAAAATACAATTTTGAAGACATGACAATGTGGAAAATGTAGTGGGGCCTTTTAAAAAAACTATTTTATAAACTAAATGACAACTGATTTAAAAAAAAAAAAAAAGGCAGGTTAGTTGACAACACAACTAATTGTTAGTAGTGGCACCAAATCATTTTAGTTTGTTTTCTTTATACACACATGCAGATGCAACACTGTATGTTCAGAGAGAACAGTGTTCACTTCTCTAATTAATTTGAAGCAAAGAATGAAACACTGGTGGTTTAACTCATTAACGTTTTGTTATTTGCAGAAGATGGACGGTTGAAGTACAAAGTTGGTTTTGATGAAAAGGGGAAGAGCCTGGTGTCTGGCCACCACATCGCCTTTGACGTCACACCGAAGCTGGAGCAGCTGTATGTTGGTGCTCGCGTGGTGGTCAAGTGTCAAGATAACACGTTCTTCTACCGGCCTGGTATTTTGGCAGAGCTCCCCAGCAGAAAGAACCGCTTACGGTGTGTGTTTGAATGAGTGTTTGTCCCTACATCTATGAACCACCATGTGTTTGGGGAATTTTTAGAGGAAACTAATGCCTCTCTACACAAAATCAAAATGCTTTAGGTAAGATTTGATTTGATGAAAAACATACTTTTTTTTCTAGGTTCTTAGTCTTTTTGGATTGTCACGTGGCGGTCTATGTTGGCTTGCCTTTATTCCACCTGGTGTGCAGACCGCGTAAGTTTGGCAGTTTTCGCACTCACTTTCTTTTCACACCCAAATACAACTGTCCTGTGCGTCACTGTAAATTCTCATCCCGTCCGGGGCCTTTATTTATCTCTACTGCAGAGAGAACAAGACTTTATTGACCTTTATTTATATTTCCTTGTTTTGTTTCACTCGTCCATTATTTATATGATGTCAGCTGGTGCTTTTAAGGTACCGCGGAGAGTTTTTGATCTTTAGCAGTGTTATGGTGCAGGTGCCTGTTTTGTACACATGTAATTGCTGCGTCCCGACGTGTGCGACTTACCTAACCAATCACTAGAGACCAACGTATCTGGCTGAATCCAATGGCATTTTAAATTGACACTGATACTAATTTCCCTGTGTTTTTTTTTTTTTTTTTTGGAAGAGAGGAGCGATGCAAAATTAAAACAAACTACAATGTCGGCGATATTGCAAAAACAAGTCCTTCATAGTACTACAGGACACGCCTACTACAGGACACACCCCGACACGGTCTCAGTTTGGTTAGGTTTAGGCACCGAAACCTTAAGGTGCCCAAACTGCTTTTTTTTTTTAATATCCGTAACTCATTCGGTCTCTTCAAACTCCTCAAATTAGCTCGTCCATCCAAGTGTCATGTTTCCATCACTGCCCATCAGCGCTGGAGCTGATAAATACCTGTGACTCTACCAGAGTCCTTTGTCCCGGGAATGAAAGCAGATGGTAGCCTTTCACACGGCAGACAAAAGCCCGGTGTTATTGCGTGTTAGTGTTTTGTTTTTGGTCAGTGGGAACAGGGTTTAAGATGAGTGTCAGACTCTTTCTTTCTTTGTTTTTTTTTGACAGTGGAAAATGTGGTTGACGACATTCCAGAATGTCCCCACAAGTCTTTCATGACGCAGTACCTGAAGGACTGGCCGTACCCACATCTAACCCAGTACAGGCCTGGACAGAGCCTCAATGTCGAGTTCAGTGGAGTCCAGCAGAGGTGTGAGGTACAACTGGTCGACAGCAGCTTGATGCAGGTTCTTTTTCAGGTCGGTATCGTATAGCACTGCTGTTGTTTAAACTACTGATGTCATATTTGTTTAAATTTCTGTAGTAAAATGTAGTTTTTGTCACTCTCAGGATACTCAACACAAGGAGTGGATCCATCGAGGCTCCATGCGACTTGAACACATGGCAAGATTTTTGGAAATGAAAGCAGAAGAGCACAGAAATGATTCTGACTAAATGCCCACCGACAGAAATCATGATACACGTAATGTGGCTAACACATTTATAGAAAAAAAAGAAATGAATTTCCTGTAATATCCATCATTATGCTGAAGGGATGTGCCATTGTTTTTTTTTTTTTTGTTTTTTTTTTTAAGGCATCATCAGCTGATCTGTTACAGCCCAAAGTAAGATTTGTAAATTATGAGGTGACTGACTCAAGAACGACATATATTCCAATCCTTTGTTTTCTATCGTTAATACTTTCATTTGTTGTACATATGTCAAGATGTAGCTACTTGGTGGATTGTTGCACTTCTAAGTAAAGTTTTCCACCATTAAAACATAGTGAACAAGTTTGTCCAGAAATGTAAATGTATCTTAAGAACAGTTAAAGGTAAGTAATATTTAAGGGAAACTATCCATCATCGTCCTCCTACACGTTTGGCACACAGGAGATGTTGCAAGCTAGACGACGTCAGATCCTACAAACTGCACCTTTAAGTTCAAACAAGCAATTTAGCATGTCGCAGACAAGAATATTAGCTTCCTATTTTGCTGTTTATTTCGCTTTTTCACAGTGTGACACTCCCAGATTGATGATTTAAATAATGCATTTAATGCAGACTTTGTATCGGTCAAATATTTGTAGTGATATTTGTTTTGTAGAAGTTGATGAGTTCCGGGAAGCTGGAAATATTTTTGCATAAAATTCTTCAATTGTATAATTTTATTTGAGTATGTCACAACACATACAATTCATTAAGGTGACATATTTATCCAAAGCGACTTACAATTGGTGCGTTCGACCGTGTGGGTACTACAACAAAAATTTGCAAAAAAAATATTCAGGTACATCAACTTCATCAAATATGCTAAACTGCTCTATTTATTTAAAATGTTCTGGGTGATGGTGCACAGTGAGCAGATGTGTTTTCAGTCTGCGATGGAGACGTGGAGCTTGTTCCATCATTGTGGAGCCAACACCGCAAAACGTTTTGAGCTTTTACATCTGCATTGTCTTTTTTTACCTGTTTAGTTCTGGGCCCCGTTCTTAATACGTAAATAACCGTGTTCAAGTTTAGAATGTTGACAATTTGGCTTGAGTCTTTGTTTTTTTTTTTAAAGCTGTTATAATCTATATCAGGGACACGGTCTCTTTTAAAAGGCTCAATAATGACCCAGACGGTCTACTGTGAAGCGTTCATGAATGGATTTTTACATACAAATGGCTTACCTTGTTAGATTCATAAATAAAGACTATGTAATGATGATAGATTAGAATGTGCAGGTTATTGTAAACCCACCATCATCTGTAATTATCACAATTACGATGTCATGTCACTTTACCCATACTTACACATGATACAACTAAGTAGGAATAAATACAAGTTTGTAAGCAAGAAACACAAATTTGACAACTTTTTTATAGACTATATAAAATTTTCTGATTAGACTGCTGAACTCACTTTTCTGAAAATTCTTTATGCTTTTAATCTGGATTTATTTTCATATCAGGCTTATGATTCACACCTCGTGCACCAACATCACTCTCAGACATGAAAGCGGAAGCACAATGTAGTACATGATTACACCTGAAATGATGCAGGAACACATAAAATGAGATTATGAATGAATCTATTGCCTCAGTGCAGTTGTGGTTACCTCATGAAAAAACACCTGGGCCTCACAGAAGAGCTGTAATGATGCACTACATACACATTAGATGAGCAAATACATATCAGGAGCGGAGAGGACACATTTATTGAAGCCCACTGTCTTAAACAAATTAATATTTATAAACAGAATAACAAATATTTACCTGTTGAAGTGACAGTAAACTGAGTGAGACAAGATCATTTTCGACTATATCACTTTATTTAAATAAACTAACATTGGGTTCAAGGGCCGATTTAATCATTTAATGACGCTTAACATTGATACGATCTTTAACTAATCTGATTCATTAGCTGATTAAGGGCTTTTGAAAAGAAGGCATATTTGAGGAGTTTACTTTTTGCATTTTTGAGAACTCCTTGTACAGCTCAGCTTTTACAGTTAAGAGTAAGTTTGTCAAATATTTCATTACTTCATAGATTGAGGGAGAAGTCATGTACGTAACCCTTGAATCTTCTTTATTTTATTTTAAAATTAAGGTTTGTTTAAGCAGTGTTGGCCTTTAATAAATGAAGGAATCTCTGGGTTATAACTTAATGTAAGTAAACTTATTATTTTAGAGGTGTACGGCTACTAAGCACACATAGCTTGAATTAATGCGCTCTACAACGTGCCGGCAACAGATTCTATCCTCCTGAAGGTCATAATGTTCAGTTCTGACACTGTTTAAGAGAGGTGTGATAAGTTGTGGAAAGTAACGTATATTTACAAGAATACTGTTCTTAATTACAATTTTGAGGTATTAATATATTTAAGATTTAAATATTGTACCTTTTACTCTCCAACATTTATATCAGGGTTAATAGTTACTTTCCAGATTAAGGATTTACTTACAAAACATATACATTTCTAAAATATGATTTTGAAATGATGAGCGTTGTTTTACATTGAACTACCCAAGATGACATAAAGCATTTAATTAACTTCAACCAGCTAACAGCCAATATATTGATGCATCTATTATAATGATCCAATACTATAATAGTATAGCATAAAAATATTATATGCATATTGAGTCTTTTTACTTTTGATACTTAAACTGGCTAAGTGTTGCCATTCTGTATTTTTACGCAAGCAACATTTTCAATGCAGCAATTATACCTGCGGTAGAGTACGCCTTTCTCTACATTGTGGGATTGCTTTTTTTAAATTATTTGACTTCAGTTCTTTTGATCCCTGGTTTTGATTTATTTTGAATAAAGTGAGAAAAAAAGCCATGTCGAAAGCCTTGTCGTTCCTCTGGGGGCAGCAGTGAGCTAACGGACTGCTGCAGCAGCACGAGACGAGGAAGACACCGCTCTCCAAAACCCATGTAACGCTGTTCATGCTACACAGGTAAGGTTTTGTAAACATTTTGTTTACTTTTACAAGAAAAACCCATCAGCGGTCTGTCTAACCGTAGTCATGTAACGTTAACGTAGACTATTCCTGTGGACATCTGTGCGTTAAAACTGATAGTATAGCTGAGAGTATAGCTGAGAGTATAGCTGAGAGTATAGCTGAGAGTATAGCTGAGAGTATAGCTGAGAGTATAGCTGAGAGTATAGCTGAGAGTATAGCTGATCGTATAGCTGAGAGTATAGCTGAGAGTATAGCTGAGAGTATAGCTGAGAGTATAGCTGATAGTATAGCTGAGAGTATAGCTGATCGTATAGCTGATCGTATAGCTGATCGTATAGCTGATCGTATAGCTGAGAGTATAGCTGATAGTATAGCTGAGAGTATAGCTGAGAGTATAGCTGATAGTATAGCTGATAGTATAGCTGATCGTATAGCTGATCGTATAGCTGAGAGTATAGCTGAGAGTATAGCTGAGTGTATAGCTGAGTGTATAGCTGAGTGTATAGCTGAGTGTATAGCTGAGAGTATAGCTGAGAGTCTTTCAGTTTCACTTTCACAGTAGTGTAAGAAGCGGCTATAAGGCTGTATAGACATGGGGCAACAAAAACATCAGCCCATAACTTAAATCTAATTTCCACGGGCCTGTATTTCAGATGGTATTTACAATAAACAAGTCAGGACATAGATATATTTTGTTGTTTTAATTAAGGACTATCCTTGTGATGAGGACGTGTTTCACCTGTGTATGGAACTTATGGCAGAGCACAACCTGGCAATGTGTGATGATGTGTTTAAAATGACAGACCTTTATCTTCGTCAAATGCTTACTGATGGGCTGGGGGAATGAAGTATGTGCTATGAGAATGTGTCAGCTAGGCCTACTATTGTATCTATGTCCTGACTTGTTTATTGTAAATACCATCTGAAATACAGGCCCGTGGAAATTAGATTTAAGTTATGGGCTGATGTTTTTGTTGCCCCATGTCTACATGAGACAGTGAGTCGGAATTCCGAGAGAGCGAGTCGGAATTTCGAGATAACAGGATCTTTATTTTTTCTCACAGTGGCGGGAATGGGCTTCCATAGCTCCCTCTGTCGTCACACATTCACAAACATGACATTAAAGATTTTCAGGCTGCATCTCATATCAACTGTGGCTAATATGATTCTAAGTGAGCACTTACATCACAGAAGACATTTTAGAAAATATACATATTTTTGTATTCATATATATCTAAAGTTACATTTTGGGTTGGGCTGATCTTTAACAACTGGTTACCTTGAGCTTATCTTAGAAAACATCAGAACATATTTATCAATGTTTTCTGTTCCTCTCAAGGCTACCGCCCTATTAACCACCTTACGACGCATTATGACGAAGAAATACTTTTTAAAAGTGGCAATGTGTTAAACTTTGTCCAGAAACATAAGCTGCTCATGTGGATAATGGCATGTGAGCTGGTGATGTCACTCTACAGGTGTGCCCGGAGCCCTAACTGTCATGGCAAATATCGGAATATTTATTATTCAAATTTGAGTGTTTAGTTTGGCAACGTGCATCATGAGCAACAGAATGTCCTTTTGTAAGAAGAATTTAGGAACGACAACCCCCCCGCTGTACACTGTACCATTGGCACATGATTTCACACGTTGTGTGTTGCAGTGATTATGGAGGGGGATGAGATTGAGATGAGCACAGAGGAGCTCCAAATGTGGATCAGAGAGAAGGTGAAGAAGAACAACCTGATGTCCTCAGGTGTGCAGGAGAAATGCAACCTGCTGCAGTCTCTGCTGGACAGGAGGGAGAAACAGTCCGACCACCTCCAGAGGCTCTACCAGTGAGTGTTTGATCTACTCTATGCTCTTGTTTCCACCTCTTGTATCGGCCCTTTGGACGATAATCAACCATTGTGTCCTGTGTGGTCATCCCTATGGATAACGGCTTCTCGTGTGTTACCACAACTGTCTGTGTGTTGCTTGCTCTCAGTGTAGAGTCGTCTGCTGTCGTTCTGATTTAGGTTGCTGGATATAGCAAACTGAAAGGAAAGAACTTCTGATCAGACAATTGCAGCACTAACTAAATGAAAAACACCTCAAACTCTTAAGAGTCAACATGGGACTGATAAACAGGAGAAACGACTACACCCCGGAATATAAATGCAGCAACTCTGGCTATCCTGAAGAAGACACAAACCGTTTTCTTAACATTACTTAACTGTGTTCTTAAAATCAAAGACCCAATAGTCCAGATTGTTGTAATACACCCTGCTTTCAAATTCATCTATCCATTCTAGCTAGGCCTAACCAAGTCATCAAATGTGTGTTTTAAAGAAGAATATATTTGGTCTTAAAATGTCAACTTGATTTCTTTTACTTACTTATTGGTCCCTTCTGTATGAAGTACAGGGTTCCTCTATGTTCTTCGCTTGGTACATGTTGTCTTTGTCATTGGTGTCTTTCAGGTCTGTGTCAGCATGTGAAGCGATAGTGAAGAAACAATACTCTTTGCTGGGGTGGAAATACAGAGACACTGATTCTGATGATGACGATAATACAAAAGGCTGCGGTAAGAAAACACCTACTCTTTGTACGTCTGTGTTTGCTATTGCAAACTGGTTTATCCTAGTTTGTTTGTTTGACCTGTTCTTTCTTTTTCCTTTGTAGGAAATGCTGTTCCCAGCCCTCCAGCTACTAATGGCCTAACTTCTCTGTTACCAAAGCTCCATGGAGAGAAGGGCAAAAATAGCTCTATCAGTCTAAAGAGAGAACCAGTTGTGGTCTTGACCAGGCTTTCTACACACGAGATCCAATCTATTTGTCCTCGGACGCCTGAGAATCACGACAGTGAAGAAGAATCCTCAAACTATTCGGATTGTGATATGCAGTGGGAACCAGACGATGACTCAAGTGATTCCGATTTTAGTTACTCAAGTAAAGAGACTGTGCCCAACAAGAGGAGAAAAATAGATCAAAAGAATATAAAGCGTGCTAAGAGTCGTGCAACGCCCAAAGCTGAAACAAATACTAGAGCCAAAAGCAACGTAACTAAAACGTCAACACCCCATGCCAGTACAAACAGCAATGCTAATAGCAATGTGAAGAGCAGCGTAACGAAAACATCAACACCACAAGCAACCACTAACGGTAATGGTCACAAAAACATGAACACCCCTACTACTCTAGAAACAACAGACATTTATTTAACTTATTTTAATCAATGTTGATATTAACATATTGTATTTATTTTTCAATGACCGGAGTAGGGCCCGTGAACATAACAACTGCTCTTTCCCAAACCTCTGACGAAGCTACCAAGACCCCTCCTAGAGTGCCACTAGGAGAGCTCAAAGTGGACATGTGTATTCTGGCCAGAAGGAGGGCCATGAGCTGGCAGCAGGGGAAAATCCTAGCCAAAGTTACAAAGGGTAAGAAGAAGAAAAAAGATCTGTTCTGCACAATACAGAATACAATGCAACATTCCTTGTCCATGTGACAGGTTGTCTGATAAAGGGATGTATTATGCAGTTGTGCCTCAGCTAGCAAAAAACAGGTTTGTCAAAATAGTCACCTGTGTATACACAACAAATGTTCATCTGTGGAATCGGTTAAATATAGTTCATACTAGCTAGCTATCCAGTTCCATGTTTCCGTGCACATCTAAACATACATGTAACTAAGATAAGATACCAAAGTACATTTGTCTTGGACACGTACAGCATCTGCTGTTTAGAAAATTAAACAAAACATAGCGCACACCTACTGTTCATACACAGACTGCCACCAACCAACAAATCGCACACTGCCTGTCATACGACACACCACTAGTCATCATAAGAGAGTGCATTATACTGTGCAGTCTAACTGCAGCCTAACTAAAAATATTGCTAAATATATCGGCATGCCCAACTTTGGCTCGTTGAGTAAAAAGGATTCCAGCATAGCAAACTGATTGTACTACATTTATAGGATTAAATGTGTATAATACGGTATCGTTGTTGTTTGAAAGTACTTTCATGTGTAACCTGTGACTGAGGTCAAGTCCACACTAGTACGAATACATCTGTAAAACGCATATTTTTATGCATCTGCGAACCTCTGGTTTTCCGTCCCTCCGGTTCATTATTGTGAATGCAATATCTCAGGAAAAACTGGGGCAAATTTGGCAGAAACGTCCACCTGGAATTTGCCGGTAAAAGGTCACTGTGAGCTCACAAAACACGTTTTTGGCCATAACTCAAAGAACTCAAATGCTAATCATGGCAATTTCACACATATGACAAATAGGATAAAAATGATGACGTGATGGCATTTTAGACAGACATGGATGTAAACTGCAACGTGATTGGTTGGGGGAGGCATACAACTGCGAGGCTGTAATTCTAGCTTCCCTTTGTTTTTGGCCATCTATTTACACTGAGCTGTTTGTTCACCCCAAAAATAGACTGTGGGGGCAATGGCTGCACCACACAGTGTCATTAATTGGCCGTCCTTTGCCCCTGTCCCGAACCAGTCAATCTGCCTCAGAACATACGAACACTGTAGACAGCAACCCTGTATAAAATGAGTTAAAACTCCCAGCGTAGATGTAAAACTTGTACTAAACGCTGTTCTATTGGGATGTTTGTAGGCCCGTAATGCACAGCCCTTTAATCAACTGAATTACAAAGTTCTCAAGTGTCGGCCAAGTTTAAAACATCACTTATCTTTTGCAGAGGGCTTCCGTAACACAACAAAGATGAGGAATTAGCTCATAAAATGTACCCACCACAAAATACAGGTGCAGAGATATGACTTATTTTAAAAAGGGCTTTGCTTATTAGAAGTGTTTTTTTTTGTTTTTTTTTTGCAGAAGATGGTAAGTTGAAATACAAGATCCATTTTAAGGACAAGGGGAAGAGCCTAGTCTCTGGTCACCACATCGCCTTTGACTACATGCCAAAGGTGGATCAGCTGTTTGTCGGTGCTCGTGTGGTGATCAAGTTTCCAGCAGAAGACAAGTGCCGGTATAGCCCCGGTATCCTGGGAGAGCTCCCCGGCAGAAGAAACCGCATGAGGTTCGTGTGTGTAATGGATAACCGTTTAAGACAAAGTCAGTTTAAAATGTGGATGAAGTCACAGTCTCCTAGATAAAATGCAGTTACGTTTGTCCAAGTAGGTTTTGGTGTAAAAAGAAATAAAAATGTGTTTTTATTTTCCAGGTTCCTGGTCTTTATTGATGATCACAAGCCGGTCTATGTTAGCTTACCTTTACTTCGCCTGGTGAGCCGACCATGTAAGTGTGGGTGTTTTATTCACAGACAATGACTGTTTGGAAGATTTATTACTGGCACAAGATCGTCTGATCTGAAAGTTACATACATTTGGTCAAGTTTGAAAGCTGTTTGTTCTGCTCTACTCTGGTCTAGAACATCAGTGTGTGTCTGTTCTATTCAAATGTTCCAGTAAGCCATGACAGTGTGACAATGAGACGGCTTGTACAGCCCGGCTATGATCGAAATGATAAACTATGGACAGGTTTTAGACAGGTGACCCTGAATGGAATCAGAGCTCAAAATACTTGCACCTGTCAAACAGTTGTCCACTGTAAGTACTATTATACCGCCAGTAAGCAGAGTGACAGACTTTTTGACTTTTCCCTGTGACAGTGCAGGACCCTTGGGACGATATTCCAGATGGCTTCCACAAGAATTTCATCCAGGGGTATATGAAGGTCTGGCCTTACCCGCCCAAGACCCAGTACAGGGTTGGACAGACAGTTAATGTAGAACTTAATGGAGTCATGCAGAAGTGTGAGGTGCATATGGTCGACTGCAGCTTGATACAGGTCGTTGTTTCGGTCAGTATACGAAGAAAATCATTCTTTAAACTCATTCCAACTGGATTCTTGGTGTATTTTTCCCTGTTATAGTTATTAAGACTGCGTGACTCATAATAGTGTGTGTGTGTGTGTCATCAATCTTAGACAGATCAACATAAGCTGATGATCTACCGAGGGTCCACATGCTTGGAACACATGATTAATACCAGGGGGTCTTTGGAGTTGAAAAAGGACCAAGACCAGAAGAAAAAATCTCCAAGTTGATGGTAAATTAAATTCTAACAGTATACATTTTGTTATTTAAGTTACTCCATACAATCGTATTTACCGCTTCTGTATTTCCCTGTCTTGTAGACTTCAGAGTCATCACAGTCGGCACACTGATGGGACCGTGAATGTGTTCAAGAGAAGTGGATGCTCTGTTCCAAGATGGTGTCCCATGCATTCAGTGAAAGTTGCTCACCAAGAATACAGCTTGAGTTGTCCTCTGGCCAAGCCCGGTTGAGAGCATTTTTATTTTAGCTTTAGTATTTACATCGAAGGTCTCCTCTTAGCCAATATGGCTGTTTTTGTAACTCCAGAGGGGCTAGTATTATTACTCATCTGACTCGTTGCCACCAGCCACGGTCAATGCCCGTTCCTGAGCAGCGCAAAGAGAATGCATTGTTTTTTTATAAGTGTATTTGTATTGTTGCGTTTGTGTCTTAAATAAAAATTAACTGTTTCATTTTCACCAAGTTTATTGCATCTTTTAACTAACAAAAACATCTACTCCAGATGTGTGCTACATGAGCATAAAAATGCAAACCATGGAAGAAATAATTAGATGAAATGTTGGACATGATGAAAACAAAATCACTCATGGCAAGTCAAAATTATTTAAAAAAAAAGAGTCCAAATGATTGAATAAGTCAACTATAAGTTAGTAAAATTGTGAGATAAGTAAAAAATAATGAAATAATTTAATGTGCCCAACTTAACAGTATAGACTTAGTCAAAATTATGATATTTCTATTCAAATTTATTTTATGAACAACTCTGATTTAAGAACAAATTGTACGGAAGCAAGTTAAAATTTAATTTCTGACTAAATTATACAATAGAATACAAGTAACGTTAATGACAGAGTCTGGCTAAATATATCAGTCACATTTCACATTACTCAAAACTTTGCAAACTTCCCATTTTGATTATTAAAAACATGAATTAATTGTGTCTTCTGCAGGCTCAGAGTATTGCACTAACTCGTCATGTGGTCGTGTGGTTGTGAATGACGGAGGCGTTCCCACCAGTCTGAACCAGAACGAGCTCTACAGCGAAGGCAACAGAGCTTTGAACATCGAGCTAGCGAGAAGATAAAAGAGAAAACTGGATCGCCATCACGGATTTCTTGTGGGACAAACGCACAGGCCTCGCTGCTAAAACGGTAAAGTACAGTTACGAGCAGTTTTGTGCCGTTACGTAAGCCGCATTCCGACCATACGGTTAGTACGACAGCTAGCGAAAGTGTCTGTTGTGCTAGCTGATGAACATAGCTAAGCTAAGATGGCGGTCAAAGTATTTACGTTAGCTTATGTTAGCAGAGCATGCTAACAGACAGTGAGTCGCCTGTTGGTCCGCTAGCTGGTTCGAGTTTAAAGCAATTGTGTCTGTTCATGTGCTGGTGTTGGAAAACGGGACATGTTTATTGACTGTACGTCATGTCTCGGTGTTAACGGACATTAACAGCGTCAACGGCAGTGTCAATAACGCATCGTCTTAGCGTCACCGCTGTATGTACGCTAACCTGTGGTGGGTTTTTTAACAGTTTGCTAAATATGATCAACAGGGTTTAAAAAAAAATGCATCCATGCAGTTGATCCCTCTTCTCTGTTCACATACTTTGAGGCCTAAAAGTTGTCTGTCTTGCTGCAGCTGTTCTTGCATAGTTTTGTAGACTGCATGCTTCATCTGTATGCTCGTAAGAGTTGGTGTTAAACGAGTGTTTCTGTGATCAGCTGTAACGCAAATGTAACGTTTGGTCTCCGACACAACCAGGTTTATTAAACCAAATTTGTTGAGCAAGCTATTGTCGTTAATCAGCTTATTTGATCTGATTTTAAAGAGCCATTTGATTTTAGCTTCAATGAACAATGCAGTACGACTTCTCATACAAATGAAAAGGTGTGTTTCAGGCTGGTTATTCAGTTAACTTTTAATGAAATTTGTTCTTTTTTGTTTCCTACTATTGCCCACCTACTGACTACCACACATCACTTAGTGTCTGGCAGTGGACAGCTGTCCCACTGATGTCAGTATTTGGCAGGAAGTAAAATGTGAACGGGCATAAATATTAAAAAGGGTCTTCAATTGTTCCCTGTAGTTTTTAATTTAACAAGCATTTTATGAACAATTTTTGAATACTCAGCAATGTTTTGCTTCTCCTAATAATCCACCAGATGCCTCACACGAGACGGTACTCGTCTTCGGACAGAGACAGTCGAAGCAGCTACCAAGACCGCTACAGAGACAGAGGACGAAGACACCGGCACAGAAGATCACCTTCTTACTCCTCCAGCAGTGAGCGAGACAGAGACCGAGACCGAGACCGAGACAGAAGGGGACGGGGACAGGGACACAGACAGGAAGGAAGCTTTGTACACTCAAGGAGGTATGTTTATGTGTATCGTGAGACATATTTAGTTTAACTGTTACACTATAATTTTACTTACCATGATAATTATTTCCTACCACAAGTACAAACTGCAGATCTTTTTTTGGGGGGGGGGGGGGGGGGGGGGGACTTTCAGTGGTAAAAAGCAGAAACCGTTCTCTGTCGCGGTCTTTGTTTGGTTTGGGATCCAAGCGCCGGTA